TTATCATAGACATAGCTGTTTCGCTTCAGTATCATAACATTGATGCACGCTTTTGATGCAAGCTAAAGCATAGTCCAGCACTAATTTTCTCGATGTGTACATGTTGTTCAGTTGACAAGAAAAAGAAGAATTTAAACAGGTTTTTACCATTGTACTTAATAGTAAACAAAAAAGAATGCTCTAGGTTCTAATTATTAATAGCCTAAAATCATTAAAGGAGTATCATACTAGGAACTCATTTCTTAGCGGTTCTAAACAAATATTATGGTATACTATCGCTAGGACGGTCTGGCAGCTAATACTATCACAGAACGTCGCGACAAGAAACATAAAAATAGCAAGGACTGTACGTTCCTGAAAATAGCCAACAAGACTTCATATTATTTGAACTGCACTACAAGTCGCATCATTTTTTTTAATTTGCGTTAAATAATTTAAAGGATTTTAAATGATGAAAATGGCAATGACGTTTACAGAGTTTACTAGACAAAGTGCTGTTGTTACGGTAAATTAGAAAATAATAAAGGCACAAATGTTACTATGCGTATGTTCGAAAATTATAGCAATGATAGTTTAACCCACTCGATCTTTCATCATCTATGACTGTGATCATTTGTCAATGATATATTGTGTTATCTAGTAACTGGTGTAAGGTCATTACCATCATATTTACTGTAGATCTGAAACTGTAACAAATGTCGAAAAATAATTATTTGTGCTTTATAAACTTGCTGATAGACGGTATTATTTAGAATGTTTTTGAAAATGTTGTAAGGAATGCTTTCATTGGATGGCTATTGATGCTGAATATTCTAAAACAATTCCGGAAGATTAGCGGAACCAAACATCTTTTGTTAGCCGCTACTAGTGGTAACATCTGTACTGTACAGTATGAAAGTCGGCCGTTGTTAGTGCTACTAGCAGACTAACCTCACTAATAGAATCCTTATAGTAGCAGCTAACATAATAGGATCGGGTGATTGACAATATTTATACTTCCGATTCCCGAATAGATTACCATTTATCGTTGATATGAACTTTTAAAGATTTATTTCAAATCACGATTTCAAAATGCCGACACCCACAAATGGATATAGATGGGCGCTTAATGTACAGCGGCAACTATTACATAAATATGCATGCTGAAAATAATGTTTATGGTATACGTTTATATAATATGACTGTATTCAGCTTTTACAAAACCAGAACTATGACTTGTATGGTAACGTTTACTTTATTTGGCCTTTTTAACTAAATTTGATTCGAGCGTCACTGATGAGTCTGGCGCAAATACAAAATTTCCATCCTGGTATCTATGATGAGTTTATTCAGATACCTTATAACAATGTATTGGTTCCAAGCTACTAATATATGATCTTACTCTTAAATTCAGCATGTATAGCGGGTAGCAGTGTAAAATAGATATCAACAACCTCCCACATTCGAGGCTAGTGCAACGTTCATTGCGACACCATGAATTCAGCATTCCTACCGTACCAATACTTAGAACTGAAATCAATGATACAAGGCAATATATGATCGTAATGCAATCGATAAAAAATGAAAACAAAACGTTAAAAATTGCATGCGTCCTAAGTGCTTTTCTGGATCTACCTTCATCAGGAACGCTCAAAGCCAAATATTTGAAGGCCAACAATTTATCACAACCGAAATAGTTGATAAAAGGTTAAAGATCATCGTTCAAAATGTACACATGATTGCAGATAGTAAGAAGTCGTAAAGCAAAAAAAAAATGAAATCAAATTTGAGAGAATACACGTGTATTGAGCCATTTTATTGCTTAAAGTTTAGTAGGAAATATACTCAACCTACTTCGAGTCGGTCAGTCTTCACTTCTACTTCTAAATGATGGTCGCTGGGGAAACCAAATAGTTCTGAACTATTTATCTGAAACGCTAATCTTATATAAGAGATTTTTTTAAACGTAAACCAACTTGTTTGATGCAGGTTTAAATAGGTTTCAAATTATTTTTTTCTCAATAGATGCAAAAACTTAAAATTTTCAGGATAGTGTTATCGCAACTGATGTCTAATATGTCTTAAAAAAATGACTTCTTCTTTAAATTATTTATTTTGCAATTAAAAATGATTTGATATATTTCATGTTTTTTATTCCTAACTAAGAATGATCATAATCAGAGCCGTGTTTCTTGTTTTAAAATGAATTATCCGCTTTTGAGAAATATTTATTTTGTTATCCAATTTTTCACCGGTTACAACTGTCTGCCTCTGGTTTTATTTTATACATTAACTTTTAAGTAAAAGCATGGAAGTATTATATCAATATAATACTTCCATGGTAAAAGTAATTGTTCATTTCATTTTGTTTCTTTTCGTTTTGTTTCGTTTCGTTCCGCTTTTATTCCGTTTCGTCCTTTACAGGTACCCCTCTTTTCGCCCGTTTTCTATTTTTGATATCTTAATCAAAAATTTAAAAAATCAAACTTTTAAAAAGCGAAATACTCAAAACTGCACATTAAGTTTAGTACTTTTAAAGTTTGATCAAATATCTAATTTATCAAATTTAAAAATTATATTTAGAATTTTTAAATTTTAATTATTTGGTGAAAATTTCAATATTTCAGAAATTTTCAAAATTTTGGAATTTTGATATTTAAAATTTTGATCAAAATTCCAAAAATCTAAAATTTGAAAACTTTTTAACATTTTGAATTGATAAGTGTTACACGGACCGTTAGTACAGTTTGTTCGTTATTTCAAAGCCTAAGTAGCGTACGTATCGAATGATTCTTGTTAACATATGTACTCGCTTCGGCAGTACATATACATGTACTAAAATATATACGTCCATCAATTTGAGACAGTGGGAAACAGGGCGAAGCTCCACATAAGCTGTAGAGGTTTTGCAATTTGAACAAAACAAATCTATTAGGAATTAACGATAGCAGTTGTTTTATTTTATTGCATCATAATAATGTTAATAATGCCTTACGCTATTAAAGTTATACTACAGATCTATGAGTTGATTTAGGGGGTTCCCATGGATAGTAAAACTGTCAAATAGTCCAAAATATAGGCTACTAGAAATTTTTCAAATTAATTTTTCTTGGGGTAGGATATAGACAGATAGAAATTTGTCAGTTTTTATTGTGTGGATTTCTTTGACTCTGACATATTCGAGTTACTAAAAACTACCGCAAAGGGGTAGTGATTTTCAAATTAGGGGATGCATGGAGATGTGCATGTTTCCATAAGTCTTTTACTCTGACGTTAATACCCTTTGCAACGTATATAAACGTTAAGTAGGGTGTCTTTTGCATTTTTGGAAAATTGTTTAAAAGAATATAAAAAAAAGTTGTTTTTATTATTTTTATTATTATTTTAATGAGGCTTGTGTCTCGGTTGCCGCAACGTTAACTACGCCAAGGCTTATAGTTTTAACTTCTACTTATAGCCCCTTTCATAAATTAAGAGAAACAAGCTCGGGACAAAAATAGGTCTCATATCTACATGTTCATTTGCAAAATCGGAGTCAGAATCAATGAATCGTACACTGAAACCTGATCAAAATACAAGGAACCAGCTCCGCGCTAGTTAAACGTTAACTTTAGCGACTATAGTTTCCGTGAATTGCTACAAATAGTACCATGCAGTCCTTTATAAATAGAGTCTAAGAACGACAACTCTTAAGATAAATGAAGGTGGTTTCGTTTGATGTGTTTGTCTAATGAGCTTTTAATTTTGCCATTTTATTCGGGACTTTCCGTTTTGAATTTTCCTCGGAGTTCAGTATTTTTGTGATTCTACTTTTTTCTATTGTAATACCACAAAACTGTTCACGAAAAACGACAATTTAACACCACCATCACGGAGAACGTAAATAAAATTTAATTGAAAACGAGTCACGAAAAATGCACTTATCACGAGTCACGGATAATAAATCAATACAAAAACGAATCACGGCAAGCAAAATACATCGATCACGAAGGACGAAAATAATCCATCATCCACCTCAAGCTTTTATCCTCGTGCTTTTGAAACAGATAAAAAAAAGTATACGCAAATACGGAAATAGACATTAGATTCCGAAAAAATAAACTAGGTATGTCAAGCCCAGATAATTGAATACTGGCTATTGTTGGGACCCGGATGTACAACGAGACATTATCTAACCCCCAAATGCAAAAAATTATCAGAATTGAGATAAGGCTACAGCAGGCTAAATAGATATACATGTAGAAACTAAATAGGTCAAATCTCTCACGCCATATATAATTGTGAATGCGGTTGTACTTTTGCCCTCTCATGGAAGTCATCTGAGCTTTAAAAAGAGTTATAACATCTTCATAGTTATTAGGCTGATCAACAGTATATAATTATGTACAATATTAGGTCAATGTCAGAAAAATATAAACTTTTTTGTATGAGGCTGAGAAACTGGGGAAAGACGAGGTTCTACCGAGCCCTTCCCCAGTTTTGTGCCGAGTAAAAAAAATTATATTTTTATGACATTGACCTAATATTGTTTTTATACTGCAACTTAAATCAATACATTGATAGTTATTTAAGATCATTTAAATTTTTAAATTGGAACACAAATTTCAAACTTATTTGCATCCCTTAATGAACACCCTGACCGTGGAAAAAGTGTTCCATGATGAAATTTACATTGTACAAAATATAGCTGTGTTACTATATTTAGGAAATAAACACAGTATGCAGTATAAATGTTCTTATGTGTTTTATACAAAATTCCTGTATTATCGCTTGAAACCCTCTTATAAATCACTTACATAAGATTTATAATTATTAACAGTGTATGTTCTAACAAGGATTTGTATATAGTATACTATACAGATCCTTGGTTCTAATGATGTCTTTCTTTAATCCATGTCTTCTAAAACACATACATAACATAACAGATAACATTTTAGTATCACCTTCTAAAGACAAGGGGGAGCTGGTCACTGACAGCAAACGGAAGGCGGAAATTGTGTTTCAACAACTTAGACTCGTATTCACAATTGACAAATCAACATCAATTCCTAAAATAACAAAATACATCAAAGAAACAATACCAGAACTACTTATAACAACTAAAGGTCTCGAAAAACTACTCAAAGATGTAAACCCATCGAAAGCATCTGGACCAGATGGTATCCCAAACAAAATACTAAAAGAATGTGCAACGGAAATAGCACCAGGACTAACTGTCATCTTCCAAACATCAATAGACACTGGAATACTACCAGGAGACTGGCTCAACACAAACATTTCGTGTTTCCAAAAAGTGAGACAAACACCCTGCAGAAAACTATAGACCAGTCTCATTACCATCGGTACTTGCAAACTACTAGAACACATCATATGCAAGCACATCCTTAAACATCTTGAAAAGCACAGAGTCTTAACATCACTCAACCATGGATAATTAGATCTGACGATACATGTGAAACACAACTGCTACTCACCTTTCATGACTTCATGAACGCATTCGACGCCGGGCTACAAACTGACATCGCATCCTGGATTTTTTCCAAAGCTTAAAAATTACACTGTACCGCATAATAAATCATTAACAAAAATGGGAGAATACAGAATTCGATGACAAATAAACAACTGCCTAAATATGTTTCTGACACAGAGGAAGATGAAAGTAGTAGTAGAGGGAGAACAGTTGGAAGAAGTAAAAGTGGACTCAGGAATTGTCTTAGTCTAAAGTATCAATCATTACAAATCCAACGGATTTAGTGTGAAGACGTCATAAACAGTCTGAGAAACACATAATCTTGTGCAATACCGAACTATAAGTCAACAGTATCCCTAGGTTGACAGATCATTAAGTTTTCATGTTTAGTGTAAACAATGTTTTATTATGAATGATAACAATACATTTTCTATACATATTCACAAAAAGGATTCAGAAACAAGCAACAAGTGCTTATGTTAATCTGTCTCCTTGTTAGTTTAAATACATTATACACGAATAAATCAAAAATACATGCTCTGTTACATATTTAAAAAAATATTGATCATGTCAGTCAGCGAGTTACATATTAGATTTAGTGAACTGAAAAAGTATTTAAAAAAAAAATAAAAAAAATATCAATGATAGCTAATAACAATAGAAAAAATACTTAAAGATTTTATTACTGTCACAGTGTTAAAGTTATAACCTTTAAAAAGGATCAAAAAGTTAACATGGATTACATTTATTTTTCGGGCTTTAGATTTTTAAAAATCAAGATGCGATATCCCGTTTTGAACAGGTACAGCAAAACTTCCTTACCAAATCTCAATCTCCCCGCAGAGTTATCGGTCATTGCTCTCTCTCAATCTCAATGAGAGAGAGCAAGGACCGATAACTCTGCATGGGAGATTGACCAAATCTTTGTAACTAGGAATTAATTTTGAAAAGGTTTTAGTTACTGTGTCATAGCGAAATCCTTGACTTAACAATTGATCAGTTATACATAAAATAATGTTTTCACTGATATCCAAAACGAGACTACAGACTAAAAGTTCTTCCACATACATTACAGTAATTAGGTACACACCTGTATGTGTCCTCATATGTACCTGTAAGTAATCAAGCCGACTAAACCCTTTACAGCATAAGGTGTGTCGCCTGTATGTGTTCTCATGTGTCTCTGTAAGCTACCATTCTGACTAAACCCTATACCACAAACATCACATACACAAGGTTTATCGCCTGTATGCGTTTTCATGTGTGCATATAAATGACTAAGCTGACTAAACCCTCTACCACATACAACACAGACATGAGGTTTATCACCTGTATGTGTTCTCATATGATTATGTAAATGATGAAGCCAAAAAAAAGCTTTAAGGCAAACATTACATTTATAAGATTTATCTCCAGTATGTGTTCTCATATGTCTCTTTAGGTAAATATCTCGAGTAAATTCACTAGCACAAACATCACATTTGTAACATTTTTCACCTGTATGCGTTTTCATGTGACTCTTAAGGTAAATATTTTGAGTAAATGTTCTAGCATAAACATCACATTTGTGACGTTTTTCACCTGTATGTGTTCTCATGTGACTCATTATGTTATCATTTCGAGTAAATTCTCTTTCACAAACATCGCATTTGTGACGTTTTTCACCTATATGTGTTCTCATGTGACTCATTAGGTTATCATGTCGAGTAAATTCTCTAGCACAAACATCACATTTATGACATTTGATATCAGTATGTGCATGATGTGTTCTCGCATGTCTCTTCAAGTCACTACAGCGAGTAAATTCTCCAGTACAATCATCACATTTATAAGTTTTCACAACATAATGTGTTTTCGTGTGTCTCTTAAGGCTATCATTTCGAGTAAATTCTCTAGCACAAACATCACATTTATAAGTTTTAACAACAGTATGTGTTCTCTTGTGTCTCTTTAAGCTACTACTTTGAGTAAATTCTCTAGCACAAACATCACATTTATAAGTTTTAACAACAGTATGAAGTAAATGATCATCAGCCTGTGTTCCTTTGTGTCTCTTTACGTTACCATTAATCACTTTATCCTCCACCATATTCATCTTATTGATAAAAGTTATCTCCAGAATGTGTCTTCCACGTATCAATTAAGGTCCGACAAAAATATTAGCCAATCCAAAGATGAACCTAAAAACAAATGTTATAGAAAGGAACTTTAGCAAAGACATAAAAAAAGTATATCAAGATAAAAAAAATAATATTATCTTGATCAAAATAGTAAAGTCAAATTTCAAAATATAAAAACTTAATATAAAGAATATCATTTGACATATGTACATATCACTAGTCACAACTCGGCCGATTCCGTAACTTCAGAAAGAGAGTAGAATCCGAGGATTGCCAATCGATTTACATATAACAAAGGAAAATGTTTAATCCTGCTGGTTCCCTATTCAGTCCCTTATGTTACGGAGTAATGATTTTATTTGTAAAATCGTTGAAAAAAAACATATATTTCTTGGAGACACCGATAACAGTCAACAAAGATACGAAAAAAAAGAAAAAGAAAAAAGAAGATGCAACCCATTCACGTTTGTCATTTAATCTTAAGCAAAGAATAACAATAGACAATGCCAGCATTATATATTATGGGGTACTCTTTCATTTGAGGAAGCTACCTGTTACAGTTGCAATTATGACTCCTATCTGTCTACTGTTTATTTATCTATACGTGTCTATATATTCACAGTTAACCAATATGTGTACTGTATTGATTGAAAAACAGACAATACTCAATAACAAGACAAACAAACACTGAAGTATCAAGTTCGTTCGTTCTAAATATTGTAGGCTTTAATGTGGAATACATGATTGAATATGAAAAATTGACGTCATTGTACTACAGTACTAGATTAAAGCAATCATGTGACTGTCTACAGTGTCTAGCTACGAAAGGTGGTATATGGTACATGAATAAATATGGTGCTTGAACTTGATGGCAAAATGTAGGTCCGATGATGTCACTTAGTTACTCACTAATGGATATTGAAACAATATGATACTACCAAAGCTATCCAGATTGGGAAGTAAAAATGCTATACCAAATATACATGTTACTAGCTATAGTATAAATTAATGTATCTTAACGCAAAAACTAAAATGAACACAGAGACACTGCCGGACTCTCATTTTCAATGAATGGTTAGACTAGAGTGGATTCATTAGAACCATTTTAAGCGGATTTCTCATGGCGTAATCGTCAATTATTTTATCATAATCGATTTTAATGTCTCTGTGATTCCCAATATGTTCAATAGCAGATTACAATAGTTTTTTTTTTTGTTTTTTATTTTTTGAAAAAGGGAGGGGGGCGTACATGTACGCCCATTACGCCCTTACTTGGACCCGCCCCTGCTCAATAACATACATGACACTCTAATTACGAGGTATTCCTTCATTGGAGGAAGATTCGTTTTACAGTTACAATGTTGACTCTTACCTGCCTACCGTGAATCTTTCTCCATGTGTCTGTAACATGTCAAGTATGTATCAATACTCTGTTTAAAATGAGCGGCAAGACTCCAATTAAACTGACACTTTATAACCTGTTGCCATGACAGCTTTCGCATTAGTTGTTATAAAAGATAATCACTCATTGACAATTAAATTCAATATTTTATTTGAGATAATGATAATGATTATTTCATTAAAGTGTCACTCTTTTTAAGTCTTATCTCTCAACAATATATATATATATATATATATATATATAGAGAGAGAGAGAGAGAGATATATACAACAAAGAGCCATTCTGTACAGTACGATTAATAATTTAAGAAACTACAAATATTAAAACAGTCTGAGAGTTAAAATTAGTATCATAAAACATATTTATTTGTACATTATTTACAGTATAAAACCAATGAAAACTTATATAAATCCCTTGTCTATTTGACGCATGAAATCATATTAAACGTGTTGTTTTCAATTTTTAAAAACAGATATTAGGCTTTGCCACAGCTAAAAATCATAGTATCTGTGAACAAAGACACTAGTCTAAATTTCTGTTTAGAATCAACAGACAATAATATCATCACTATACTTTTCATTAGAATCTTTTGTTTCAGAAAATAAATGTTTGCTGAAATCGTGATATAGCGGACACGATAAAATAACATGGGCTTCTAATCATCTTCTTAGATATCTTAGATTGGTGTTTTCAAAACAGAGAATAATGGACAAAAAGTGAAAAAATAAAGGACACTAAAAAATAAAAAATAGAGAAAAAAATTGGCAAACATAGGAATAGAAAATAAAAGGCATGTGCTTACATATAAAGAGTACCCTCTGCAATTTGGAAATAGGACTCCTTTTATGTAAGTGTGACATCGGACTTTTACAATATGTTTTAGTAACACAACTGTTCCTAGAGCTCTCTCCGACTATAAATAGAATTACCACTGATCCAGATAATTACTAAACATTATTGACATATAATATTACCAACTCATTCGTCACAACTTGGCCGATCGCAGTTGATTTCCTTCACCTGCCTTGGTTACACAAAAGCCGCCAACCTAAAGCCGGCAAATTGTAATACTACTTTTCTCCTATAATAAGTCTCTTTTTAGTCTTTATAAATACAAAGATAAATAACCTCTCAACAAGGGGGTATCCAGTATATTAGGTTAGGAGCGCAAACTTAAATTTTGTCCGAGTAGAGCGAGTCGAATTTTGTTTTAAAGGTAAAATCTTCGAAATATTCTTTATTAAGCTGAGGACAACCCATGCTTTGCAAATATTTGGGATGGGGCACGCCTGTCTCGCCCCCGCCTGAATCAGCCCATGCTCTCAACACCTGTCGACTTGCAATTACTTACTGTTTGATGCACGTATAATTCCAATTGACCGTTTCAGAATCTAAGGACTATGAGTAATTTCATTGTTCGTACCCCAAAATGAAAAAAAAAAAAAAAAACGTCACGTCATTGGTTGTATTTCCATTGTCTATAACATTTTTAACCAATCGCGACGTTTTGGTGTACTCTTTTGAAAATATTACCCAGGATGCATTAGATTCTGAAACGGCGAATTGTGACATATGGGTGTGACATATGCAGAATCGAAAAGTATTACATGCGGGAAAAAATTCAACTACAATTTTGTCGGCATGTGCTAAAAATTTGAGTTTCTTCACCAAATTTTATGACATATTGAGAATTTGGTCGTACACAAATCGTGCCAATAGATACCATAATATTAGTAAGAGTGGTGTTTTTTTAATAAACTTCTCGCCAATGCTATGTTTAGACTCGGCAATTGCCATTGGATGTAAATCAACTAAAAACTTTCAGAGCATAGGCAAATTGACAATTCTTCAAGAGGAGAATTCTACGGTTTGTTTAAAACAGAAATGTTTGGTTTAGAAAAGTATCTTGTACAATTATCACCAATCGAACGTAAATATATTTAATAACTAATTAGATGCTCACGGTTAAGTAAAAATTCCAGTAGAGCTAGGTAGATGGTACAATATTCCGAAAGAAGAGAGGATATTATGTAATTTGTGTTCAAATGAAATTGGTAATGAATACCATTACTTATTCGAATGCAATTCCATCCTAGTAAAAAATATCAGAAATCAACACATACCAGAAAAACATGAAAGGATTACTATCATTGGGGTCATATAGATTACTAAAATATATATTTATTCGCGGACTTAATCTTATACCACAACCGACCGTGCAAGGGCTATATAGCCAGTCAAGGTCGTTAAAAACTCCCATCATCATTTTACAACATCAATCGCAGTCATGGGATTTATTACATGTTTTTTTCTTCTTCTCATGTGTGTATATTATTGACCGAGCTTACTAAACCCGTCACCATTAACATCACCCTTATGAGGTTTATCACATGTATGTGTTCTCGTGTGATTCTGTAAATAACGACGCTGAATAAAGCCTTTACCACATACATCGCATTTATGAGGTTTCTCCCCTGTATGTGTTCTCGTGTGATTCTGTAAATCACGACGCTGAATAAAGCCTTAACCACATACACCGCATTTATGAGGTTTCTCACCTGTATGTGTTCTCGTGTGATTCTGTAAATCACGACGCTGAAGAAAGCCTTTACCACATACATCGCATTTATGTGGTTTCTCCCCTGTATGTGTTTTCGTGTGGCTTTGTAAATGGCCATGCTGACTAAACCCTTTGCCACACACATCACATTTATAAGGTTTATCACCTGTGTGTGTTCTCATATGTATCTGTAAAGAATGAATGTGACTAAACCCTTTACCACATACATCACAGTCATGGGGTTTATCGCCGGTATGTGTTCTCATGTGTCTCCGTAAGTTACTACGCCAACTAAATCCTTTACCACATACATCACAGTCATGAGGTTTATCACCTGTATGTATTCTCATGTGATCCTGTAAGTCACGACGCTGACTGAATCCTCTACCACATACATTACAGTCATGAGGTTTATCACCTGTATGTGTTTTCATGTGTCTATATAAATATTCAGGGTAACTAAATCCTTTACCACATACATTGCAGGCATGTGGTTTATCATCTGTATGCGTTCTCATATGTCTATGTAAATGTCCTACCACAGTAAATCGTTAACCACATATATCACAGTCATGGAGTTTATCACCTGTATGCATATATATATGTATTCTCATGTGGTTCTGTAAACCACATCTCTGACTAAACGCTTTACCGCATACATCACAGGCATGAGGTTTACTGGTATCACCTGTATGCGTTCTCATGTGTCTATGTAAATTACCTAACTGACTAAACCGTTTACCGCATACATCACAGGCATGAGGTTTATCACCTGTATGTGTTCTCGTGTGACTCTGTAAGCTACTACGCTGACTAAATCCTTTACCACATACATTACAGTCATAAGGTTTATCACCTGTATGTGTTCTCATGTGCCTATATAAATGGCCACGCTGACTACAATTTTAACCACATACATCACAGTTATAAGGTTTATCATCTGTATGTATCGTCATGTGATCATGTAAGTCACGACGCCGACTAAATACTCTACCACATACATTACAGTCATGTGGTTTATCACCTGTATGCGTTATCATATGTCTATGTAAATGTCCTACCTCACTAAACCGTTTACCACATATATCACAGTCATGGGGTTTATCACCTGCATGCATTCTCATGCGGTTCTGTAAATCACGCCTGTGACTAAACTCTTTACCGCATACATCACCGGCATAAGGTTTACCGGTATCACCTGTATGCGTTCTCATGTCTCTGAAAATTACCTAACTGACTGAACCGTTTATCGCATACATTACAGGCATGAGGTTTATAACCTGTATGCATTCTCATGTGACTCTGTACATGGCTAAGCTGAAGAAAACTGTGAGCACATAAATCACATGTATAAGACAGATCTCTAGTATGTGTTTTCATGTGTCTCTTTAGATTACTTTCTCGAAAAAACTCTTTACCACAAACGTCACATTTATGAAGTGTATCCCTATCCTCTGTTTCATTTTGTATGTGTACGGTACCATTACTCACTAGATCCTCCACCTCATTACTCACTAGATCCTCCACACCATTACTAACTAGATCCTCCACACCATTACTCACTAGATCCTCCACCTCATTACTCACTAGATCATCCACACCATTACTCACTAGATCCTCCACACCATTACTAAATAGATCCTCCATCGCATTACTCAATAGATCCTCCACCTCATGACTCACTAGATCATCCACACCATTACTCACTAGATCCTCCACCTTATTCATCCTATTGATTAGGTTTATCTCCTGTATTCTTGTATGACTGTAAGAAACAAAAGAACGAATGTTAAGTCTTAAAACACTGACATCTTCCTGCAAATGACAGTAGTGTTATAATGATTATAAGAAAACGGTAGAGCCGTAGAGCAGGGTAAAGCACTAGGTCTTTGGTATTTGGCCAAGGTAGAGCCGTACCATAACAGTACTAAAGTTGGCAAATGTAAATAAAATGAGAATGGAAATGGGAAATGTGTCAAAGGGACAACAGCAAGACCAACGAGCAGAAAACAGCCGAAGGCCACAAATAGGTCTTCAACACAGCGAGAAAATCCCGAACCCGGATGCGGGCTTCAGCTGGCCCCTCAACAAAATGTGCAATAGTTCAATGAAAATGGACGTCACCCCAAACTCCAAAACATATAAATGAACTAAAACTAAAAAACATACAAGACTATCAAAGGCCAGAGGCTCCTGACTTGGGACGAGCGCAAAACAAAAAGGCGAGATAAAACATGTTTTGTGAGATCTCAACCCTCCCCTTTACTTCTAGTCAATGTAGAATAAACAAACACACAGCAATACGCACAGTAGAACTCAGTTTTAAAGTGGTACGAGTCCGATGTCAGAAATGTAAATGGATTTTCTTAACAAAACATGTTTAACCCCGTAGCATGTTTGCGCTTGTCCCAAGTTAGGAGCCTCTGACCTTTGTAAGTCTTGTATGTTTTTTTTTAATTTTAGTTCATTTATATGTTTTGGAGTTTGATTTGACGTCCATTTTCATTAAACTAGTACACATTTTGTTTAGGGCTTGGTGAAATATATACAGTCCGCCAAAACATGCAAAAGTTAAGCACCACCTATCTTTGTTGCATCGAAATTTTATCATTTAAAAAAAACAGTTAATCCTCGAAAAAGAGAAAATATTCATGTAGCAATTTTGCAAACATATGCCATAAACAAACCATAAACTTATGTTTGGTCACTTATGCAGGTTCTATGCATTTGAATTTTGCGTTCATAGAAATAGTGAAAATTACACAAATCAGAAACGGAATTTAAGTTTTACTTTGATTTGATTTTTTTACAACAATTAATCACCCAAAATCATTAAAAGTCTCTACAAATTATCTTTGGTATTTTCGGCAAATTTAATGTCAATATTTAAGTCAATAGGATGTGTAACCACCTCTCTTCCGGTACAGTTCCATAACACGGCGTCTAATACTCTGCACAAGCCTTCTGAACTTTAGTTGAGCAAATTTATTCCATTCATCAACAATTGCCCCTCTTAAATCGCTAAGATTTTGCAAAGGTGGATCTCTGCGATTGAGATTTCTGCCAATGACATCCCAGACATGTTCGATAGGGTTCAGGTCTTGAGACACGGAAGGCCAAAAGATAGTGTCAATTGCTCCTTGATCTTTGTAATCGGTTACAATCCTTGCCCTGTGTGGTCTAGCGTTGTCGTCCATGTACGAGGGTCTTGACGCAAGTTGGGGATTCTCAAAATGAGGGACTACAATGTTTCTAAGCACCAAATCCCTGTATGTCTGTCTGTTCATGTTTCCCTGCAAAATATGCATACCCAGTTTACAACAGTATGAGAAGAAACCCAATATTGTAACACTACCATCAACGATTGCTGTCGTTGGGCAATTGTTGTTTTGGTGATAGGCAGTTTTATTTCCCCGCCAAACTTGTATTCTGTCGTCTATTGGTCGTAACAGAAACCGACTCTCATCTGACCAATGAATATTTTGCTAAGTTCCATCGTCGATGGTCATTAGCCCTTTGAAACCTGATTATACGGTGCTTGGCTGTTAGGGCACGTCTTTTGACAACACGACGTGCTCTTGTGTAGCCTCTATGAAGTCGACAGACCAATGTTCGTACACTAACACGACCACCTGGAGGCCAATGGTGTGTAAGCTATGGGGCAGGAGTAAATGGGTTGGTTTTAGCACGACCAATAAGTAGTCTGTCATCACGATAGGTAGTTAAACGGGGTCTTCCGGACCTTGGTCTATCATTTACAGTTCCTGTGTCAATATGACGTTGTACAAATCTGACAATGACGGTGCGATTAACATTGAAATGGTTACCGATGCTCCTAGTGCTCCTACCGGCATTGGACATGTCAATTGCTTGTCAACGTTCAGTCACAGATAACTTACCGCTTGCCATATTTCACAGTGACTTGGTGAAGGTCAAATTTCACCTGTTCGCGGGACAGTAGGAAGATGATTTAAAGGCATTCAAACAGTGTATTTGTAAAAGTGCAGATGACCTTTAATAAAAGGTTGCTTGGTGGGTATATCGGAGTTTAATTTTGTTGGTCGTAATGAATTTTCTTAGTGTATGATATAGGCAATTCATAACACCAAACATAAATATTTTTTTCGCAATAGTTAAAAAAATATTGACAGTTATATTTAGGTGGTGCTTAACTTTTGGCGGACTGTATATATTACACTCCCTGAAGTCCTTACAATTTGTATAATTAAATTGTCTTCAACCGTTAATTCAATAATGTCATAAAGTTGTTTTAACTCTCTGAATCTACTCAAACCTTACTTAAATAATAAGATATATATCTGCCGCCTTTTTGTTGTAAACAAAACATGGTAATGTAACTCTGGAATATTTCATTTTGAATTTTAACATTTCTCTAAATTTCAACACTTGAATAAATAGGTTCTGTGACGTGGAGACTACATGGGCACCACCCTTAAAAATACCCTTATCACCAACCAACTCTCTCTCTCGTACATAATGTCCTTATTAACCAAATACCAAAGACCTAGCTGCTCTACCCTGCTATGCGGCTCTATCTTGTCCAAATGCCAAATACCTAGTGCTCTACACTGCTATACGGCTCTACCTTGACCAAATACCAAAGACCTAGTGCTCTACGGCTCTGTCTCGACCAAATACCAAAGACATAGTGCTCTACTGCTCTGTCTTGACCAAATATCAAAGACCTAGTGCTTTACGGCTCTGTCTCGACCTAATACCAAAGACCTAGTGCTCTAAGGCTCTGTCTCGACCTAACACCAAATACCTAGTGCTCTACGGCTCTGTCTCGACCAAATACCAAAGACCTAGTGCTCTACCCTGCTATACGGCTCTACTGTTTTCTTATCATCATTATAACCTACTAATTAAATATAAGATCTCTGTTTTACATACAGTGATTTTGGTGTAACGTACTGTACATTTATGAATCTGCATGTTTGTGTAAAATTCTACTTCAATAATATTTATGACATGTATAGGTAATAGATATTTTCTTACTTGTGCATACCCAATTAATTTTCTTATTCATTTTTTGCATGTATGATAAAACCAATCATGCAGTCAAACATCGAATTAGAGCTTGCTTTTTACTTATTCTGACTATGCAGGAACTATTCGTGCAATTAACGAAGATCCAACACATCCACGCTTTATCATCTAATTCCAAGCCAAATAATAAAAATGGACAATGTCAATATTGTAGTATTATAAGGTACTCCTTCATTGGGGGAAGATTCGTTTTACA